CCAAGGCCAGGCTGAACAGTAATTGGGGTTATTCATGGACAATGCACCTTTTCAAAGAACTTTTAGAGTGACTCAGCCCTGCTGCGAAGGTTCTCTTCAGTTCTTGGGTCCTTTTCTCCTGCGTGTGTAAGAACAAGTGCTTTTCACTGACCATCAATGAGCTTTTGCCCTACTTTCAACCACCATCCTACCTGGTCTCCTGGAGGTGGTGTAGGCAGGTGTTTGCCAAGCCAAAACCTCTTGCTGGTTGTAGCAATGATGCAGGTGTTCTTTGAAAACACCTTGGTTGCAACGTAGCCCTATTAAAATTAAACAAAAAACCCCTTTTTGTTGCAAATAATATACAGGGAAAGAGAAGTGTATTGCCAGAGAGAGGCACTGGCTAAAAGAAAGGCTTCTTACAGTGCAAATAGTCACAGGGAAAGAAAAATATTGGTCCTTTCAATTGTATTGTTTAGGTATATGTGTCATGGAGGCTGACAAGAGACTTTGGTAAAAGGTAAATTGCCTCCTCCAGTAATGCCACGTGTATGATGTGTTCTCCTGCTTAGGACACGTGAAGGAGTTTGCTGCTAAAAAGCTAATGCAGCACACAGTGAACTAGAAACAGTCCCAAGGCTGAAGGAACGTGTTTTCAAGCATGTCCTCTAAAATACAATGGAATTTTGTTGAAGCTTTGGTGTTTTTTTGAAAACTTTTGTCTCTTTTGCCATTTTTCTTGTGCAATATTGGCAGCTACTTACAGTCTTGAAGTCCCAGATGGTTTTCCAGGCCTCAGACCTGTCCTTTGGGTTGGTGCTGACCCTGATCTCAGAGTGGTTTGAATTTTCACTGGGCTGCCCGTTTAGGTTGTTCTCCATGTTCTGATTTTTAGAAAAGATTAAAAGAGGTAAGGATTTAGCTTCCTGGACTCCCAGCAATGTTTCACTCAATAAAGCATTAACTCTAATAGCCACGTTTTGGGAAATTATTGCTCTTGGAGATCAGATTAAAGGGGAGGAAATTTCTTGGCTCAGAATGAAGATGGGAAGCCTTTACTTTCTAAGAAATCAAAATAATTCCTTATTGTTCTTTCCCCAGCAGGATCTTGCTGGCACCAGATTACTTACAGTATTCTACTGTATTTTGTGGTCAGATCAATCAGGTTAATACTTGTTTCTCTCCACACCATAATTTTCAGTGTTTATGCTCATCTCAGGACAGACTTTCCTGACTCCATATACGGTCACTGTCTTTTTCGCTTGATACATCAAGCATTGAAATAATTTCTTTGTTATCATAGAAAAATTGAAATTCAATTTTCTTCTAAAAAACTTCCAGAAACACATTTCTCAGAGGTAAGAGCTAAAGCCAGTTGTTCCTGTGGCAGTAGTGAGTAGTTGTGTGCAGCTCTATACTTACGTGGTTGGCAAGAGCAGGAGCCAGAAAAACTCCAAGAAGAGAGGCAATCACAATCTGAAATGAACATTCGAAATTCAAAACACCTGAAGATCATGCTACTTATCTTCAAATTATTTGCTGTCTTAAATAATTTTGATTTCCTGTTTACTTTGTGTACAGACTCAGCACTTTCTGCAGTAGGGTCCAGCTGAAGAGGATTTAGATATGCAGGAGAATTATTTGTTGATGAGTTCACAGAACACATGCATAGAAATAGTTCTTAGCCCCAGCAGTGCACCTTGCCCAGGCAAGAAGGTCAATGAAACACAGTGGGTTCTAAAACTTGCCCAGTCCCAATTCAGTAACTTATTAGGAAAATGTGCTCTGAAATATTTTCTTTGCAAGAGTGAGCTTTTCAACTCAAGCTTTTGATTTTGGACATGGAGCAGATCTGAGAAATGTCCGTGTGCACCTGTTGTGAAGAGCTGGAATATGGGTGCACAGTCCAGCTCTGTACTTGGAACACAGCTGCAACTGCACCTGAGCATCTTCACAGTGATCTCATCCTCCGAATACAGGATTAATAGTCTAAAGGGAGGCACAAGCCCTTCCATTCAGAAAACTGGGACATCAAACATTTGTTACCTTTTTATAAAGCCACAGATTTTCGACAACTCACGAGCTTGCTGTTGCCCGGGTTTGTCCGAATAACTGCTGATACCTTTTGGAGAGATTTCCTATTGTTACAATGAAAAATTATTTTGTGTTAACTGTTGTGAACAATTATTCTCTTGAAGACAATCCTGCGAATATTAAATCGGTCCCAGATTTTATCTCCTTCAAAGAAGGATTTTGATGAAAAAGGTCAAGTATTTAGTAAAGTCTGAAGAGTATTTAAAAGTATGCTTGGGAATTTTTCCTGCACCAGTTTCAGGCTGCTGTAAATACCTCGGTGTCACCATCCTGCACCTGGAGTCTCTCATGTGTCACACTCTCAGCAAACAGCTGAGCCCTAACTTTATGTGACCTGCTGAGACTGTTGATTTGCCTCTGAGTCGTGAAGGAGAGAATTTTATCCTGTGTCGTGTCACGAGTGTGCATCGCCCCTGGAACAGAGTACTTCTCTCTTTTACATTTGAGTAGGAATGTGGAGTTCCATCCCTGCCAAAAGGGAGATTTCTCCCCTGCAGTCCCCACTCCTTTGGCATTTTCAGTTTTTGAGCCCTGCAGAAATCACTAAAAGTTTACTCAGTGTCATGAAAAGCTCAAAACCATTTAAAAGCTGCCCAGCCTTAAGAGTTTTATGAGAAAGTGATAGGAATACTTACAGGGAACTTCATTTGGATGGTAGGCCAGGCCAGCTCTGCTGCTAATTGATGTGTACTCTTACTTTTTATACATAATATCCCGAAGTTAAATCTGAAAATGGGTTTACCTTATTGGCAGGTGCCCTGTGTTCACAGAAGTATGACGAGTTTCCTGGGGAAGTGCTCTGATAAGAGGAGGCTTTGATACCTGCCTGATTGAATTCACTGCATACAGGGAAGGGAGAGAAAACTGGTCATGGTAAGCTCAATGTGTTTAACAGGCACTTTTAACTGGAAACTAAGGATTATCAGAAGCAGAGCACAGTGTGGAGACCTTGAAAGGCACTCCCAATTAGAAAGACATGAGAGGCCTCTCTCTCAGCTGTCTCCTTTTGATAACAAATCCTTTTCTATCAGGTCAGAACAACCGTTTTCTTGTTCCTTGGGTCAGCCCTGTGCCCTCTCCCTTTCCATCAGCCTTCTGGTCACTCCTACCCTGTTTCCTTGTAACACCCCCATGCCCCCTAGTAATTAGTCTCTGATACTACTTCCCCCACCTCAAAACTCCCATGTACTTAACCTGGACTCTCAGAACAACCCCCTTGCCTTTGCCTCTGAGCTCTGGGACTGTGCACATGCGTGGCTGAAATAAACATCTCTGTAAAACCCTTGCAAAGGCTCTTCCTGCTTCTTTACCTGCTTCACCTCAACAAGAGCCCCAACCTCAACAGCAGTGATTCCCAGTAAACTTGTAGTGATTGATGCTTTGTGCCAACGTGGTAAAGGACTCAGCCTGGTTGTGCCTCTAACCAAAAGCACCATTCAAACCAAGGGGGTGGTAATCTTGCTGTGTTAAAAATGTTAAGTGATGAGGCTGGTTCTAAATCATAGGAATTGCTGAGTTCTTTTGCTGACCTTCCTTTCCAAGCTCATTCAGGATCTGCTTTCTGCTTGTCAGACATGGCCCTGAATCTTCTCAGAGCCTCTTCAGGAGAACAGCGCCTGATTGTGGACTAAGGGCTGAAACTGAGAAAGAGACCAGAAAGTAGAGGTAGCAAGGTTAACTGAGGGATTCTGAGTCACAGCTTTGTAAGATAAGCCTCGCTCTGCAGGAGGACTGGCCAAAGTGAAGTTAGAGGGGTTTCAGCCCTTCTTAGGCAGCTCGTTCCTATCAGAGGGTGTGTCTAGGACTCTGGTGCTTGGGTTCAAGCACTTGCCTGCTGATTCCAGGTGTGTTCCTAGGAGATGTGTGATGAACTGTGGGCAAAAAGTCTCCAAAAAGCAAGGCTGCCTGTTGGAATTATTTCGACAGCTTTGCCTGAAACAACCAACTTGGACTGTGTCCTGTTGCAATCATGTTAATTAGAAAATGTTTTTTAGAAATTAAGATTTAGTTTTTGTCTTTGTCTGATTGGATCAGCAGAGTTCAGTCAGTGCAATGCAAGTGCAAATGGTGAGCTCGTGGCTATTGTGGTAGTTCTCCTTCAGTAAACAGCTGTTTATCTCCCCTGCTGCTCTGTCCTTACCTGTGCCCAAGCACATGGATGCTGAGGGAATCAGAAGCTGCTGCTTCTCAAGTGTTCTTCAAACAAAATGAGTAAATGAAGGCATAATCACAGAGGAAAAGTTAAATTAAGCTTTTTTTTAACTTGTTGTGCCAGAACCCTGTTATTGCCCTGCTGTGAAATACTTACTTGACAGTTGAAATCTACTGTTTCTGACATACCTGTAATCTTAAAAATAAAGAATCTTTTGAGAAGAAGGGACAGACCCAGCTTTTAAGAGGAGTGCAACATCAACCTAATTAGTCTGAGTTTAGCAGAATTTGATATCTGTTTATGTGTTTTCTGATATATTGCTTAGCAGCACAGCATTGTTATACTTGAGATAACCTTTTCTCGTGTGGACTTAGGTGGCACAAAGCAAATGTGTGCAATTTCCTTTTTTTTCTTTTTCCATTGAGGCCTGTTTGCTGAGAGATATTTCTGTACAATCTCCTTTTTTTTCTGATAAGAGAAATTACAGAAATGTGTTTGCTGTTAGTTTGAGTTCTTGTTTTGTTAGGAGGGAACCAGCCTTGATTACGACCTTCTAGTAGAAAGTAGAGTGTGATTCATCCAGGTGCCAGCACTGGCTGGTGCAGAATAGCAGATGAGGAGGAGTCCAGGCAAGGTCGCAGTCACCTGAGAACACCAGAGAACATTCTCATGGCCACATCGTGGTCATTGGCATTTTCACAAAATGCAGAAATCAATGGCAGCTTTAAAGGGGGATCCCCATCCTGCTCCCTTTGTTTGTGAGCTTGTGTGCACCATGGAGCCTCTGAGTTTTCGTGTCAGTCCTTCCTGTGCTGAGGAGGCCAGAAGTGGCCCAGGCTGTCCTGTGAAGCACAGCTGTTGTTCCCAGCTCTGTCACTCATTTCAGTGCATGTGCTCTGTTCCTGGTGGACACTGATCAAAAATGAGCAGCACTTCTTGTCAAGAGTCCCTGCACACAGAATGCAATCATGGAGTCCCACAGTGGTTTGGGTTGGAAGGGGCCTTAAAGATCATCCAGTTTCAAACCCCTGCCCATGGGCAGGGATGTCACTCACTGTCAGGTGTCTCAGGGCCCATCCAATATCTTCAATGAAAGAAATGGCTGAAGAACTGGTCTGTTTGTTGGCTGACATGAAGGCCACCATGACACAGGAGTTTCTTCCTAGCATTTCTCTGCAGACTATCCATCAGGCTGTTAGGGATTTTGTTTCAGAAGACAAAATGCACTTTGTGTGAATAAATGGCAGTGTTATTCCCAGTGTCATTTAATTCTGGAAAATATCCTGTTAAATATTTAAAAAAATAGAACCAGCAAGACTAAAGTTTAAACCAGTGAATAATAGCCATTTGCAGAGTGATTGATTTACTGAGACTTACTGAGTGCTTTAAATATATCTGGGTCAGGTTATCTGTGCCAACCCAAAATTCAGATAGGAGGCTTACGACATGTAGATATGGACTTGTTCGAGTCATGAAGGAAAGTTCTGTCAAGTGTTTCCCACACCTCCAGCAAGATATAAAAGTTGAAGGTCTCTGGGATTTCCTTGCGTTCTTACCTTCTGCAGCCTCTTGTTCTCATCTGAAAGAAAAATGAAGAGATTTGTGAGTATCTCCATTTCTGTTGAACTTTTAATTCTATAAGTTTCTCACTTTTAAGAATGAAAGGATAGAGAAGATGCTCAAGTAAGTGGTGCAATACAGTGGTACAATAATACGATCTCCGTGTTGTTTCTTTGCGTGGAAAGAGGAGAATTTACATTTCATGGGTCAGCAAAGTCAGTGGACGTCTCATTTGAACAAAGAATACAGAACTGAATACAGTTCAGAAGGGGGGTTTATTATTTATTATCATTTAATAATTGCAGTTGTAGAGGCAAATCAAGAAGCAACATGGCATCAAGGAGGGACTTCTGAAAACTGCAGAAATGTAATGGTAAAGTTTTTCTGCTTTTTCAGTTACAGGCAAAGGAGAGCCTGATAGCAAAAATTTTACAATGAAGAATTAGAGTTGTTTTCAGCTAATATACATGCTAAGTGGGTAATTTTTCAAACTGGTGCTCCAGCTCCTTTCCTCAGTTCATGGCCTGGGTTTTTTATGGCACTGCCTGGTGTTTCTGACAAGTGAGAATTCTGATTCCTTTCACAGGCTGCAGTCCTCATTTGCCTGGGAGTCTTTTGGGCTCAGACTTCTGCATTGAACGTGAGTAGAGTGATGAGCCTTGTCCTGCACGAGTGTTTAAAATGTGTTGGATTCCTGGGCAGGGGGAATAGAATAGAAGGAAAACCACAGAAGAAACTAAAACCAACAAGTTGCTTATTGTTAAGTGTAGAGAAAAAGAGCTTTTGCCAGAGGTTCTGTACAGGTGCAAAGTAAGAAGAAGTCAGGGGGACAGAGGTCCCCTTAACTCAGTCAAACATTTGGGAACTGGAGCAGTCTTCTGTCAGTCCCTGCTGCCCAGAATGACTGTGATATCCCATGCAGGTTTTGTTCAGCCTGCAGAAGGGCCTGTTTGATAACTGACCTCCAGCTCAAGAGCCTCCTCAGGTTGCTCCAGGGTTCTTAAGGGATTTATTATTTACTAAATACTAAAGTACTGGGGGAGACAGAAAGCATTGGGGGTTGTTGTGCCCGCTAAAGACGGAAGCCAGGTGATGAACAATGATTTTGTCCTTTTTACCAAAGACCTTTGTCCTGCGAGATCCTGTCAGCAACTATGTCACTGGGACCATGACCATCCACAATGAGGAGCACATCGTTGATGTCCACGTCCGCTCTGGTGTCTACTCCTCTGACACCATTTTTGACTACAGACATGTGAGTAAATCCAAGAATCTGCCTTGAATTGACCCCTGAGGAAACTTTTAAAATCAGAAATTATTTTAGTGCATTCTCACATCTTGTCCTGGAACCCTGTTTCTTTGAGGACCCCCAGCACTTTTTCTCCTCCTTGGCCATCTCCTTTCTTCACTCGTGCAATGGGGCAGTTTAAAGGACTTGTAATGAAACCTGTGGTGGTAGTTCCTGAAGTGAGAAGGTCCCTGACTCAATGGGGCTAGAGATGAGGATGGACTGCCAGCACTCATGGGCAGCAGAAATCTCTCAGAAATGATGCTTCCAGTCTCAGGGACAGGCACCAGGACAGGCTGGCTCCGTTCCCCAAAGGAGATAAAGGAAATGCAGTCATTCCACAGCAGCAGCCTCTGCAGCCACTTGCTGTTCCTTCAGATTGCCCCAGAGTAAAGAGCACCAACAAATGTCAGCATTATCCACTTCTAATGATTTAACCTCAATTCTTTCCATTACAGGGGTATATTGCAACCAGGTTATTTTCACGAAATGCCTGCTTTATCATGAAAATAAAGAAGGAATTTATGCCAGAGCTGAACGAGATTGGACATCTGGCTTTTGAGAGAGAGGTGACTTTGTGGGGAGCCCTCACTGCTGGCAAGGAAGGGATGGGATCAGTGTGGTGTGAGGGGGACTCTCCACTCTGCCCCTAAAGCAGCTCAAGAATGACTTGTGCTGTCTTAGCAATGATGGAGCTGTTCTGACAAAGCACAGCTTGAAGGGAATATCATGCAGAACATTCTTTTAAGATAATGAACTATCATGGCCCCCCTGCAGTTTTATGGGGGGTTGACGAGGTGTCTGGAGCTATACAATCCCTTGTCCTTGGAACTGATGTAATTTGGCTATTTTGAGGGGATCACAATATAAGTTCAGGCAAACTTTCCCTTTATTCATTGACCAGCTGATATTTTGACCTTGACATTGCTTGATTTTATTTTTTTTTCTCAGAACAGAAGGCAGAGATCAGTTTACTTTGACCAGATTTTGACTTCCCTATTCAGGCTGAGGTTTCAGAAGGAGACTTGAAGTTTTGCCGGGAAGTGAACTGGAGTTCTGGCCCGTTTTGTGTCAGCCCAGTAGCACATTTACAGCAAAACTTGATGCCAATAATAGAACTTATTATGGCAGCAATACGCCTCAGGCTTGCTGTGTTGACATAATTAATATCTAGTGAATTTTGTTACTGAATAGATTGATGATTTTTTTTTTTTTTTAATTAAAGCATGAAGCTTTTTTGTCTAATGTTTTTTGGTGAGGCAAAGAAAGGTGATTTTATGTTTGGGAACCTTCTCAAAGGGTGTCCCAGAATAGAGTGAAGCTAAAACTACATTTCTGATGGTGTTTAACCTTTTCTTCTCAGACCATGAAGAATGTATACTCTCCAAATAATGTGTGGGCCCAGTTCCAACCTGGCAGTTCCAGGCTGGGGGATTTTCAAGACTGGGTTCTCTATGGAAAACACATTGAAAATCTCTGCACGGGGCTGCCTCTCTACGAGCTGGTGGCCACTGAACGTAAGTCACAGATCAGGGCATTGTGGCTCTGCCCCAGGGCACCTTCCTCCCCTTTGAACCCAAATCCTCGTGGTACCTTGGAGCTGTGCAGACAGTTCTTCCCACTGAGTTGCATCACAAATGTTTTGCACAGTTTTGAGACAAACAGAAGCCTTGAACAGGGACATAATTGGGGGTTGAGATTTGCGTATTTAAGACTTTTCCTAGCTGGATACAGGGATCTCATCTGGTCAGGAGATACTGATACTGAGATAGATACTGATATAAATACTGATACTAATACTATCTTCATTTTCTTGGGATTTTTTAGCACTAACGAATGTTGATGGCTGTGCCAGTGCTGGGATTCCAAGCATTTTGGGCCTTAAAATCTGTGAAGAACTCATTGCAACTGGATCTTGACATTTCTGCTGCAAGGAAATGCCTTTTTGCATGTTTTAGTGATGGTAACCATGTTCTCCAGCTGGAAGAGAACTCGGGTACAAGGCTCAACCTGCCTATCCAAAGCTTTGATGCATAACAAATCTATGACAAACAAATAAATATAATGCTTTAATAAATAAATAGAATGCTTTGCCTGATTCTTCTACCCAAAATCAGAACACAATGACAATGGGCCTTGTGAGTTGCCCTGCAGAAAAGACAAATTTCCATTTGGTCCATTCCTGTGCTGTGGCTGCAGCATGGCCCAGGCACTGGTTTGTGCTTCATAAAGAGAAGAAACAGAAACAGAACAGATTTTTCCAGTGGAGAATTTCACTTTGGCATCAGCATCCATCCAGGTGTTGGCTCACCTTATGTAGGATGGCTAGGGAAGGGAGCAAACAGGTGAATGAAGATAAAAGGGGGGAGCAGATCCACGTTACCCACATTTGCAAAACAGCTTCAATTCTGCAGGGCCACTGGAAATTTGCAGCAGTTTGAACGACTGCAGGGGGACAAAGAGATTTTTGTTTTGGACATTTTCCAAGCCTGGATAGAGGACACTGTCCCAGTCCTAAAAATTTATACCTTGGAATAAAGTTTTCCTTTTACACAATGGCAGGGCACAAAGAGCTGTGACCACTTGCTGAGTGTCCCACGTGCCTTGGACAGGCCTTTGTGTCAGGAGCTGATGGAAATCCAGGATGGGGCAGTGCTGGGGCCCCCTGCTTGCTCTAGGGCAGATCCCAGGGAATGGGTGAACTCACACACCCTTCCCTCCAGGGCTTGGAAGGGCTGTCTGTTGTGGGGATGCAGACTGAATGTTTACTGTTTATTGGAGCTTTGAGTGGCTGCCAGAGGGCAAGACATTCCTTTGGAGGAAAATGGCCCCAGGTCTGCAGTTTGTTATTTTCAAATCAGGCTCATGGTCAAAGCATCTGCTATTTAACAAAAGAGCATTTCATCACATGGTGAAGATGTTCTTTTAGATTAATTATATTCACAACAGCCTGCAGGTTCTTGGTAATCCAAAAAATTATTCTGTAGTATCAAACTTTGTTAATTAAATCCAGGAATAGTTGTTCTATGTTCTGTGGACCCTGAAACCAGCCTCAATAACCCATTATCTGCCATTTAATAGGCAGATAGGAAGGCAGAGTTCCTGGCCTTCCTCACAAATGGAAGAATATTGTTTCTAGATTTAATTTTAGTTTGTAAGCTCATGGTATCAGTCAGGCCTGTGAGGAATATATTTTTATCTATTATGTTTGCATTTTGAGCTCTGTGTTTGTTGTTTGGTAAATAAAGCTTCAGCTCCCCATCTCCTCTCACAGCCTCTCCAATGTCCAGGTGTCCAGCTCATGGGAAACTTCTGGATGCAGCATCTCAGGGGCAAATCTGTTGTGAGGCTGCTGCACCTCTTGGGGTGCAGCTCCCAACACAGAGAGGAGGAAGCACAGGAAGAGCCATAAATCACACAGCTCATATAACCATGCTCTGATTCCCCATTTTCCAGAGAAAAACTCTGGAAAAGTTTTTCCTCTGTTCCCATGACAGCACACGGATGGGCAAATTGCAGCTCTGAATTCACAGCCCTTGAGCCTCAGCCTACTGGTATCACTAACAAACACGAAGGCTGCAGGGCAAAAGAAATTCATTCTCAATTTAAAATAACTAATCGCAGGGCAAACAGGAATGTACAGCCAGCTTTGAACAAACCAGAGAAAAGGACTTAGGCAGGAGAAAGAAGTTTCATATTTTATTTATTGATACTGTATTTGCCCTTGCTATTTCCTGCCATTTCATTCTTTGTTGACTAGGCCACAGTTTACAATATGCTTTATGAACCTGTCTTGGACTATAATTAATCTATTTTTTCTTATCCTGCAACTGGACTACAGGGAAAGACCAAAGAGGTAAAAATCAGCAATAGATAAAAAGTCCTTGAAGATCAGATCCAATTGTTGACTGTAGTCTGAAAATGTCAGTCTCTAAATCCACCCTCTGTCAGCAAAGACTCTGCACTGAATGTTCATTATATGAAGGAAAACTCAGAATCATGGAATTGCTAAGGTTGGAAAAGGCCTTTAAGGTGATTGAGTTCAACCATCAGCCCACCACCACCACCATGGTCACCATCAAACCATGTCCCCATGTGCCACATACACATGGTTTTTGAACACTTCTAGAGATGGGGACTCCAACATTGACCTGGGCAGCTTTACAACCCTCACAGTGAAGAACTTTTTCCAATATCCACCCTGAACCTCCCCTGGCCCACCCTGAGGCCGTTCCCTCTCCTCCTGTCCCTGCTCCCTGGGAGCAGAGCCTGACCCCCCCGGGTGTCCCCTCCTGTCAGGAGCTGTGCAGAGCCACAAGGTCCCCCCTGATCCCCCTTTTCTCCAGGCTGAGCCCCTTCCCAGCTGCCACTCCTGGGGCTCCAGCCTCTTCCCCACCTCCATTCTTGTCTCCAGACATGCTCCAGCCTCTCAATGTCCTTCTTGCCATGAGGGGCCAAAAGCTGAATATATTAACATATTAAATCTTTAATTCTATGAATCAGTTAACTTAGAAATGCTCTGTCTGATATGAAACATCTGCTGTCCTAGAGCTCATTAGGTGTCATTATCTTTGTGGGTCATTTGCTGGTAGAGGATCTTTTTGCATTGTGATCTATGAGATAGAAAGTGGGATGGATGGAAAATTCCCACTGATTTCCACGGGAGGCACCAGGCCCCAGCAGCCAATCTCAGGAACAATGGTGGAGTTGTGTTCTCAGTGCACAAAGCCCAGAGCTCGTCCCGATACCCGCCCAAGGTCAACGTGCAGGTGGATAAGGTGGAGCTCGCTGGCACTGAGCACAAAGTTAACACCTGGAGAACAGCACAGCCCCTGGGAATCTGCAGCAGGAGAGGAGCAGGGCTGCCCTGCTGCCGCTGGAACCAGAGCTGTCACTAAAATTAAAAAGGAGCCAGAGCAAGAGCTTAGATCCTAAAAACACATTGGCTGGAAGAGTCTAGAGAGGGAAAAAGTGTCAGGATGTGATTCATTTATCTTGGAAGTTACCTGATCTTCCCAAGAGCTCCTCTCCAACAAAGCAGAGGGCATTTGCTGTTTAGTTTATCTAACTTCCCAGCCAGGCTTGTTCTATAAAAAGCAGAGAATTTATTTTATGTGGAAGATCACAGATCACAGAATATTCTGAGCTGGAAGGGACACACTAGAGAGCTCACTGGGAGTGTCTGGGTGTGCCTGAGTGAGTATCTGTGTGTGTGTGTGCACCGGCAGCTTCTGTAAATTAAAATAATATTTATTCCTGAACGGAATATCAAGATAATGCTGATTGCTTCCAACTTTTTTTTTTAAAGCCTGAAAGGTGTTTGAAGGCATTCCTGGAATCCAAGCCATGGTATTGTTGGATGACACTGACAGCTAAAACACATCAGGCATTCAGGGCAGGCAGGATTAGCCTACTCTGGTCACATCTCCACCTCTGCACATCAACCTTCCTGATCCCTGTGGGCAGGAAACCTCTGTGGTTCCTCACTGCCAAGGGCATCAGATTTTCCAGTCATCTGTGCTGCACATTAATCCGAGATGCTTTTACCACTGAGCCCATTGCCCTGAGAACCTCCCACCTCCCCAAATTTCCCAGTGTACAGGACCGTTTACCAAGGTCAAGGTGTGACAACTGCACCACTGGTGATCCTTTCAAACCCAGAGATTAATGTGGAAACTCTTACCCTGTTGAGAAATACCTTTTAAATGCAAGACATTACTTAAACTGGGAGGAATGGCAGATTTTCATGCATCTTGTCTGACAAGTCAGAACAAATTTTCCAGTTTGCATTGAGTCATGAAAAGGGACAGTTATTAACATTTTTTCCCTTATAGGAAGAAATTCCCAGTAGCAGGGAAAAATTAAGCCAGACTGGAGAATTAAGCCTGCTAAATTAAATAGAAATCGGGTGGTCTGAGCAGGCCAAAGGTGTGAATGGGTTTCTTCATCTGCTGGGTCTTTCCACCCTTTTTTTGTACTAACAAGGCACAGTCAAGAGAGGAAAAAAAAAATCACCCATTATAGAAGACCAATCTTTGCCTCTGGAGTGTGTCTGTAACCACTACAAATTGTTGTGGTCAAGCACTGGGCAAGATCCACGTGCAAGAGGAAAAGAGGACAAATTTCTCACTGCAGCTTCAGTCAAGGTGCCTGATTATAAACACTCAGATTATCAATTATCAGGAGGTGAGCTGAGTCTTGTACCATTACTTATTTAAAATAAGCGAATGTCTTGGCCAATGAGCCAGGCCAGATTTCCATGGAATACACCTCAATCCTGCTTTACTTATTTCTTTCTACTCGAGCCAAGCATGGAGTGAGATTTCCATTGTCCACTAGATGGCAAATGGTTCCAGCAACCTCGGGGTTTTCTGATGTCAGTCGGGACCCAGGTGGGGAAGTGAGATGTGCTGTCATTAGACTGGAAAAAACACCGACTGTGAGCTCAAAAACAGAATAGATTTAATCCTCTCAACCTGTTCCCCTGGAAGTAAAAGCCGAGTTAGGATACAAAGCATTAGAATTCATTCTTTCAGGTTTCCAATCTAGTGAGATTTCACTTGTAATTATGCCCCATTTGGTGATTAACTGGACTACTTTTTGATTTCTTAATGCTTTTATTTTTTCTCTCTAATATATGTGTATAATTTTATATATTCTATTATATAATGAGACATTGCCTTTGCATGAGGTTTATCAATCAAATATTCCCAAGTGCTCCAGAAACACAAGTAGAAAAGTCTCACAAGCTCAGACATGAATGAGTGAAATTCCTTTCCCCTTCAGAAAAGGGGGCCAGCAGCAGATGGGGGCTCAGTGTGACAAAGGCCAGTCCCACACTGACCACGAGCACAGGTAAAGGGAGCAGCCCCAGCACTCCTTATCCCTCTCCTGTCACCACCCTGGTGCCACCAAGAGAAGCCCAAGCAGCTCCTCTGCCCCTGCCCCTGCCCAGCCCTGCTCTGCCAGGCTCTGCCCTC